CAATTTCCATCTAGGACATTATAATAATTGTGTTTGGAGCAAGATCATTTGTTTTGTCTCTGGATGTAATTTAGAGATTAATTTAGTAGATTAGTACTAGCCTTTGCCCTCGGCTCCGCCTGCGTGTATGTCGGTTATCGGACATGTAGGTAATTTTCCATTGGCGAAAGAATTCTTAAAATCGGTTTAGTGGTTGAGGCATGAAAGCGTAACAAACAAACTCACTTTCACATTTATAATAGAAGTATGGATGTTGAACATTAGTTTGGTTACTTATAGTACAGGCTCTGCCTAGTTTGGGGCTAGACCAAGCCTAGTACCTATGAGAAGGTGTCTGTGAAGTTATTATTATTCACTTCTATGAAAGTAGCACAGCTAATAAACATTTGACAGTATTATGTATTCATATGCATATAAATGTGAATGTGTATGTTTCTTATACTACTCGTACTCATGAACAAAATTTCAAATGCACTATTGTTCTTTTTCCTAAATCACCCGAAGGTTAACTTGTTGAAGTTTGCCGGTGTCACCTACTACACAGGCAAACTTTATTATATTTTATTAAGCATTAATAATAAAATAGTAGTCTACCACATTCACACAACGCCATCTAGTCCTAAACTAAGCAGAGATTGTACTATGGGTACTAGACAACTGATATAATACATATATACTTTTTTTTGTAAATACATGCATAGAAACACCAAGACCAAATCAAACATTAAATGTTCATAAACACAAATGTTTGACTTGAGCGAGAATCGAACCTGCGACCTTTGGAATATTAGTCCGTTACACAAACCACTACGCCATCCGGTCGTCTGTTATGTTAATACTGTTTGCTTATTTTGAATGTAGTTCAAATAAGGCCTGTTTTTGTAGTGGCTTTGATTTAAATATAAAATACTGATAATTAATAAATCTAGATTCACATCACATCAACAGCCTTTAATAGTCCACTGCTGGACATAGGCCTCTCCTTAGAAAGGAGGTTAAAATCTAGATTAAACCTTGATAAAACCCAAGCTTGGTTAACATATTTCTAAAACCTGTTGAGAAACCGCAACGCCTTCACTTATCAAGAAGTCGAGTGAATAAAAATTATTTTAATATAAAAATGGTATAATTCCGTCGTGATTGGTCTTCGACGGTCGACGGCTTCTAAGAAGTAACCCAGTGAAACCCCATGACGTCAATTGTATAAGGTCGTCAGTCGCGATACACGACGACGTGTGGGCACAGCAGCTGAGATATATTGGATGCCAATTAAACTATATTTAGAAATCTGAAAGGAATAAATGGTTATTTTCTTTTTGTAAGCGGAGGAAGGTTCCATAGTAGGTAGTTTATATAAGTACCTAATACAAAAGCCTCCTCATGTAAAGCAATTTCTTGATGAAATACAATGTACAAAGGTGAGGTTAACGTTAAAATTAATGATGAATATCTATTATTTGTAAATTTTTTTGGTTATACTTTGTATAATACGAGTAGTCAGTTTAATTTAAAACAAAAACCTTTTTGTATCACAGACGAGAATAACACAAGAGGGCGCTTCTGCTATCAACTATCATCATCATCTACTACAAGTGACTTGCTAAAGCAGGAGAATCATGTGTAAAGATTGCAGTGAGAATATAGGAAGCCAGTGCAGATTTTTCATTGGAAGAATCATGCTTGGTACAAATAGGCCAGCTTGATGATATACCTAGATGAAATAGGCCGTCTCGAACAGAGTGATATACCACGACCTTTCCCCCTCCGCCTGACTATGGGGGAGGGACTGAAAGGGCGTGACTCTCGATTTACAGGTGTCCACGTGCGCTGATCGTCACTTACCATGGGCCAAGTGCGAGTTTATTTCACTTTACTCGGTCGTCACGGTGACTGCGTTCGGCGCTACGATTGGCCCGCGCTGAAATCTCCACCAATCGCAACGCTGAGAAAGTCGATGTGAAATAAACTTGCACTCAGCCCCAGGTGACTTGTATGCAGACTTACTGTAAGTTACAATAATTATACAGTTTATTGCTCATTGGTTATGCATAGTACACTTACACCACTACACGTCTTTAGTTTTTTCTAAGTGTACATTTCTCAGTAAATGTTGCACACTACTTGCGAATCAATATGACGTACTTATTGTAAATTACGTTCTCATTACAAACTCATTATACTTAATAACAAAATCCAAAGGCTTTTCTAATACATTAACATCTTAGTACTGAGAAGCGTGCGTTACCCCAGCAAAATAATATCGAAAACAGTCATTTAAATTTAATAGATAATTAGTACCTGGCACAGCTTCTGTAATTGTTGCGCACTTTTTAATTTAATTGCACTTCTAGTTTTTTTAGTTATTTCACAAAATCATTTTCTGCTGGAGTAACGTTACCGCAGTTGACCGATTGGGCTATGCAGAAAAATGAGGTAGGTGCACTTACGTAGAGGTACGGGTTACGGGTATGAAATGATGGAATTTTTATTAACTATCATATATTTTGTCCTTGGAATAGACAAATATACGCAATAATATTTGTCTATTCCGATATATTTGCTTTTGCTTTTAAAAGACAACTCCCGCACTAGGAAATAAATCCTGTGTCGCGGGGGACTTTACAAACATACATGAAACGGACACAAAGGATACATACATACTATTCATCTATATACATTTATATATAAATACAGATACAAGGCATGCCTTTTAAGTTTGTCGTTTGAAGAAAAAAACACAACTAGAACCTTGTAGTACTTTTTGTTGTTTTTCAAAGTATTCACCACGTAGCTTAATACACTTTTCCATTCGCTCAAACCAGTTATTATAACATTTATTCCACTCTAAAGTGGGGGTGTTCAAAATGGCTGACTTGAAAGCGTCGACTGCTTCTTCACCGGACTGGAAGCTTTGACCACGAAGACTTTTCTTAATTTTTGGAAATGTAAAGAAATCGTTAGGGCTTAGGTCAGGTCTGTATGGAGGATGGTCAAGAATTTCTACTTTTTACTGCTTCAAATACTCAATCGTTTGACGAGCGCTGTGTGAGCTTGCGTTGTCGTGGTGCAGGATGATGCGTCGCTTTGAGTTAGATTTTCGAAGTTCGGCGATGACTTGTGGTGAACAAACTGTGGTATACCACTCTGCATTAACCGTTCTATGATCTTCAAGTGCAATAATCGCAACATGGCCGGTTTTTCCAACGAACGTGGCCACCATCTTTGAAGTGCTTTGAGAACGAACAACTTTAGTCGGCTTTGGCTCGTCTTGTAAGACCCAGATTGTAGATAGTTGTTTGGAATCAGGATCGTAGGCATAGATCCAAGATTCGTCACCACTGATGATGTCGTAGACGTGATTTGACTCTCCTCGGTTGAACCTTTGCAGAGTTTTCTTACACCATCTGACGCGGGCCGCCTTGTGATCGTCGGAAAGCAGATGCGGTATCCAACGGCAAACTAGCTTTCTCACACCAAGCGCTTCATGCAAGATCTTCTGAATGGTTGTCCCTGAGATGCCTAATAGAGCCTCTATCTCTCGATACGTCACATGACGATCTTCGAGAATTAGTTGTCTCACAGCAATGATGTTATCTTCAGTGAATGCGGATTTCGGGCGTTCTTCGCGAGATTTGTCACTAACACTAGTATATCCACGCTGGAATTTTAAATACCAGCGTTCGACAGTCCGCAGACATGGGACTTCGTCACTGAACACAGATGTTAGCTCTTCAAAACACTGAAGCCGTGTCAGGTCTCTTCTAAAGTTGTAGAAAATTATTGCACGAACATTTTCCTTAGAAAGATTCATTTTCGTACGTAACCTAACAGATTCCAATCGACGCTGTGACTAAACAATAGCATTAATCCTAATACTTTCAACTGTTGTGAGATTCAAAATTGAAACACATTCGAATATAGAACAGTTCCAAATTCATAATTGCCGGCAAATATGGAAACGACAGGACTTAAAAGGCATGCCTAGTAGGTATACATATATAATATTGTCTGCGGATAATTATTGCGGAGCGCTATTTGAAATTCAAATAAATATTATCCGCAAGCCATGTTATTTTAATTTAAAATTCAGTCGTTTGTTTTGGATAGTGTTTTGTTATGTGAAATTGTAGTAGTTTTTAGCGCCGTGGATAAACTGTATTAATAAGTTTGTAGAATTTTCGAATATGAGTTCCTACTCGCTAATACCACTGTGCACAGAGGCGGATTAAGTATCAAGTGAACCCTAGGCAAGCATCTCATCGGGGCTTTTGACCCCTGCCAGCGGTGTCTACCGCTACCCCTAAACAGGGTAGGTCATGGGATTACCTTGACGGTGTTGGTTGTTCGGTTGTTAGGTTAAGTATTGTATTTTCTTGTTCTGTTTAGATAATAAGATTCTTCAGGTTATTTCTTAACACTAACTATCAAAACTTCAATTATAATCCAATAGAATCTAATTGAAATCAATTAAATTATTTTTATTAGGTGAGGTATGTATGTATAACATCGATAATTAATTGTGGAGTTACATCATCGTCAAAAATAAAATAGTAAAGCTATTTTATGACTTCTATTCAAACTAATATTGTATCTGTTTAATCAAGATATTATGAGATATGATAGTTATCTATACAATCTCTGCCCTTCATTAACCTCTTCTACATAGGTAGGTAACTACTACTAGTACTTAGTCGCCCAACGGTTCACATTCACCCGTCATTAATTTATGTACATACCTTGTCTACAAATTTTCAATAAATTATTGTTAACGACAACCTTAACCTTAACCCAAGCCTTAATTGAAAAAAAAATATTTTATTGTTGATATCAAATCTCGCCGATAGCTACTAAACAAAGCCAAATAAAGTCAGTTCACAAACAAATTACAAAGTATATGATTATTTATTATATAAGTATATCTTACATTTAACCAATGCAGGGCTGCTGATCAATCGTCTGATTATCATACAAGATTCTAGTGAGAAAATCGTGGTCTGAAAATGGGACATCTCGACAGCGAAAGTGCGTTATGCAGTCGACCGCGGCCATCGTCATTTCTAGGACGCTATCGCGCCAGTCTGTTGACGGTTTTTATTGGTGAGTATAAGACAGTCGGCTTCACCACCTCCACGGAGCTCGTGTATTGCGAGTGCGGGCACGCTCCGACGGCCTCTGCTCTCTCAGTATCGGTGCTGCTTCGAGACGCGTCACCTCGTCGTCCGCCGACTTGACGTCTGCGCCAATCGTCACGATATTCTCGATTTCACGTGCGCTTGAGCAGCATACAGCTTTACTTCTCTCTAACCCTTGTTTCTCAAAAACTTAAGTATTTTCGTATTTTCTATTATTCAATTACAACAAGTGTATTGACACCAATACTCAAGTGTTTCTCAGTGTCCGCTCGAAGTTGTAAGAGGCTGTGTTTGCACAAACGAGCGAAAGCGGTCAAGCGTGTGTCAACCAACTGCGGAATTTCGCTGTGTAGGTGTTTTTCCTGTGCTGTGTTGCAATGAAAATAAGTGTTAAAGTGTTGAAATCTGGTTTATGAGGAGCTTGGTGAACGTGTTCATGCTCCTGCAAAAAACGGGCACACGCACGCTTATGTAAGGAGACCTGACGCACAGAGCAAGTGAGTACACCTAGACCTACATTAAGGCCAAGAAATATATTTATACACATATCATTTTGCGTGCAGATATTTGCTTTATTATCGGTTTTATGAAAGAATTGTCTTTTTATTCATGTCATAATGCGTTAGAAAGTTAGCGTTACCTTTGAATGGAAACAAAATAATGAGCTCTATAAAACAGAATTTCTCAAAATATCAAAACACAGACTATTAAATCAAAAGAAGTAATCAAAATTTGTGTAGTTTTAGGTATTGTTAATGTTAAAAACATTTCTTTATTTTTTTATAAGTAAAATGAAAGAAAATTACTCCAACTACAGAAGGCAGAAATACTACTATATTACAGGAAAATACAGTTATTTCATAAGGAAATCTTGAAAGGTAATATTTAATGTAAAATTATGTAGTTGCATTTATGCATTGCTAAACCAGCTAGGTATTCATTCATTTTAATTGTTTTAGAAGCATTGTTTTGTTGCTGACCTTATAAATATTGCCGTTTAATAACTGGTATCAGGGCCACGCCACGGTTTATTTGAATGTTTGATTTCCCTAAGTACATAACAAATATTACTTCGAATATATTCGACTTTACAGTATTACGATATTCCTTGTGTAAGCAGCGGAACAACCACTAAATTCTCAGTTACTGGCTATACGCTCACATGCACACATCTAACAACAGTACTTTTGCACATTCTCTGCTAATTCTAGCCCCAATAATTATAAAATATGTATAAATGAAGAACACAATATTATACTGTAGTTAGGCTTGTATTAATGGCAATTTTGTAGGGTAGTCAATAGCTTCATTCTGAGAAGATCGGCTCTGCTCAACTAATACATAAACAGCTCAAAAACTTTTTTAGAACAAAGCATTGCCACATACCTTAGTCAAACTTTCGAGAACTGTTAATTACCCGATGTACTGCTATCATTACAAAATCTGATTACATTTCAAAAGTAACCCGTTAGATGGCTTTACATAGTAACTACACAAATGTTAATAATGATCTATGTACTACATCGTGTTTATTACAAGTGGTAGAGACCGGTTATTCATATTTATTTGCTAATGAAACTCAATACAGTCAAATACATGCCATCTGACACAATTCGCGAAACAGGCAGTATTGTATTGATATTTAGTTACCTTAGCGATATATATATATATGTACCTCATGTATATATATATATATATGTATGTATATATATATACCTCACAACATAAAAAAGTTTAGCCGTATATTACATTATCACAACGTACATCCTTTAATAGTCCTTTAGTAGTATCTTAATCCGGTCACCACACGGATGATGGCCGGATATAATATTGCAAAATAAAAATTAAAACTCAGCGACTTTCTTTCTTTCGACTGACCTACTGACTGTTGGTCTAGTGGTTAGCGACACTGACGCACTGAATTAATAAAATTTAACAGAATTAAACATAATTTATTTCTTCAGTGCTATAAATACCTACATCATGATCATGATCACAGTAAAAAGCAAAACTGCGGTAAAAGCATGTGTGTTGATTCAATTGAATCTATTTGGTATGCGTACCAGCAGAACGCATTACTCAATTTATGTGTTAGATATAGTAGGCGTCACTTAACTTTTGAACATAAATATTATTTGCCCATTCGCTAGTAGCTATTCATACACTGTGTCACGTCAGGGTGACTATAAGCACTACATTATCTACATATAAGTATTATATTCACAAAATTTCTATATTTCCCAATTACCACGAGCTGGAAAGATGTCATCGAGAATCTCGGCCTATTTTACCTTTTAACGACGACATCGTTAAGTGGCGGGATGGGTGTCTCAAATTTAAATGTTACGAACATGTCACAGTTTCAACTGCAAGGAACTGTAAGGCACCATCCGTTTTGGTCCTTCAGGCTAGCGCTTATGGAGATCAAATATCCTTCTATGCTTGACGGTGCATGTTGCTATTTCTGCGATATAAAGTTCTCCTCATTCCTTATTCAGTGTCTTTTTAGCGTACATACTCAGATCATAAGTTTTTCGTTGAAGTTAAGCGTTCGTAGACCGATCATTTCTAAGACAGTTACCACGCGCTGGTGAAAATGCTTAGTAACGGCGCGAAGAATAGATTGGTAACGGTAAATAACTAGATATGTAGCCGAGATTCGTAAGTTGCCATTGCTGTTGTCTGTTTTCAGTTTAATCAAAACTGTTTTACTTTGATTGGTTTAGTGCGTTGAATAGAAAGGTTATTGACCTATTTTACACTTATAACATCTCGCTGTGATTATTTATATCGCAATATGAATGTCGAGTCACTAAATACATTTAACGCGGCCTCAAGGGTCAAACCACCGAGCATGTTTTATGGGTATACGCATTTATTTAATAAATTGTTTAGTTGACATTCACATAGCTTTTTATCGAGGAGCACGGATAGGTATAATATAATTATTTATTTCTAAAAGTTTTAAAAATACTTCAACTATAATTTCTAACACTTAAAACGCTTCCAGATCTGGCAAAAAGTTTAAACACTTTCATATCATTGATCCGAATTCATACTTCATTTCAAACTTTTGAATGTAAATCACATGCAAAAAGCCAAATTTTGGTAGCATAGGAAAGTAAACACACACATAGCATACGCATAGAAAAGTATCACATTTAAAAGAAGTAACAAGGCCTAAACGTGATTGTTTGTGAAAGACGATAGTTCCTCCTATCAACAGATCATGTAATGAACCTTGGCTTGCTGCTAAAGTGAATACTCTTTTAAGGCATGCCAAGTCCCGTCGTTTACATTTGTTGGCAAATATACAACGTAAAGTGTACATCTAGAGTGACGCGAGAATACATTTACACTGTTATTCACTCACAGTAACACTTCAAAGCGCTAGTAAAACATACAAAACTGAGTCGAAGTACAACATTGCTTGTTGAATATTTCGTGGTTTCATTAGCGTAAACTATGTTCGCCTACAGATATTATTTTATTTTATTTTATAGTCAGTAGTATTACATTGTTGAGTAATAATCTCATCGCCTAGTTCTCTTTTCTCTTATCTTACCTTTTAAATCTGTTGGCTTTAGTTTGAAGTAGGAATGCAAACTTTGTGCGAATTAATGGAGAATTTAATAAAGGTATCGTCTTTACCGAACTAGTAGACGCCAACAAAACATTTATCTTTGCATTGTCGCTGCACTAAAAAGCCTAGTAAAAGCTTTACTCGCTCCTTTTTCGTATAAGTCGCTGAAGTCTGCTTCAGCGACTTATGGTGGTTTCTCTTGAAAAGGTGTGCTCAATGTTCCTCTTCATCGTGTTTAATAACCATCACATGATTTGGCAAGCAAACGCATTTGCCCTTCGTCGTGACCTTCTACATAATATGCCAACCCTAAAGAAAAGGATATTGAAAATATCAAGGGACTACTCACCTGTTTCCATTTTCTTGCTTTTACCTTTGAAAGTCGAATCTAAAGTATTCAATTGACGGAAATATTTATTTTTCTTTTGTAAACATTAAGTCAAAAGATTCGACTAACAATAAAATGAATACTTATTAATGATCATTAGAGCAATAGCTCCCGCACTGACCTTGATTAAGTCGAAAATGGTGATGTGTACGATTTCGTATTTACAAGGTAAAGCTTAATATTGCAATACGTTTTTTGACCATAGAAATCCTTTTTGGGAAAATACGTTACGTACGTATTTATAATCACATTTTAAATAAACAATTAAACAAACATTAATATCGGAGTACTTACAACATGCTAACATGTTGACTATCATAATAAACCACAATAGGTCGTAGTATATAAAAATAAACAAATACCTATTTGAATTGTTAAAAAAAAGCAATGTTTTAATTCACAAACTTTATTATTTTTTTGTTTCACTAGAAAATTGCACCTGCTTTATGCAGCTATTTTAACTTTTTGTTTATCTACTTACTAAAGAACTAAAGTTCTTTGAAAAAAAAAGGTAAAAGAAAGTCTTATACATTTTGATATTTATACGTTCGCTATAAAAGGTTGTAAGTTAACAAATTAAGTAGAAACTAATTAGACCTCACAACTTTTTGCTGCAGAAGAATTGTGTTGCCACTTCGGTTTTTTATATGTTATGTTTTTGGTAAAATAATTTTAGACTGTCAATCACAGAAATAGTCATAAGCATATAATTATGAGAACCGAGTGTACAACAGTCGCAATTAAAATTGTCAAGGTAACCACTGAATTCAGAACGTTATTCGTACAAACATTCAATTTTAAAATTAAAATTAGAAAATACAATGTTTTTATAGGCTGTTTGATGACTCGTGCTGTTACGGACTGGTTCATGGAACATAAGTTGCAGACACCTGATATAAATGTAGGTACACATGTCAAGGTTGAGTGTTGTCAGGTGACTTTATTTATAGTGCGTAACTAATTATTTTAGTAGTAAATAAAATATGAACTAATAGATAGTCCAACTGAACCCAATTTATTTTTCGAACATTTTGTAAAACATAGTTTTGACATTGTAATAACTTTGTGGACAATAATTTTAAACAAATTAGGTAGTTTTTGTACACTAAAAACGAGTTTTACATTGAA